TGGTGGGGAAGGGACAGGGAAGGCAGGGTGGTACAGCAGGACATCAGAAAGCAGCACCGGTATCAGCAGGTGGTCACAGGCGGAATAAATTCAGGCAGTGATCTGTAAACCAGGCAGGGATGTGCAATAGCCCCCAGCAGCAGTAAGGCAGAGAAGGGTTGGTGCTCCAGGGAGGTAACAGGGCTGTGGTGGAGGAGAGATTTCAGAGTTTTCAGAGTTATAGACCTTTAAAACCATCTAGTTTCAAACTCCCTACCATGGGACACCTTCCACTAGACCAGATTGCTCAAAAATACAATAGTTTTCTTCAGGTCGGTGAGGATTTTATTGGAGCGTCCATTAAAAGAGAAAACATGACTAAAAATCAAAATTGCAGGCTAATTAAAAGAAAAAAAGATTAGGGTCACCATTTAAAATAAAATTGTGCCCCCAGCCCTGCTTTTTCACAACCACCATTTTCTCCAGATATCCAACACTTTCATCAATATAAAACCAGAACTCGGCATTTCCACAGGCTCTCAAAGTGCTCAACCCAAGAACTTGCCACCTCCTTTTAGTGAGGGTTTACAGCCCCTTGACCCCTCATGGGCTTTTCAGGTGGTTTCCACAGAGTCCCAGAATAGTTTGGATTGGAAGGGACCTCAAACCTCATCTCATTCCAACCCCCTGCCATGGGCAGGGACACCTCCCACTAGACCAGGTTGCCCAGGCTTGGTTTTGGGAGAAAAGCAAAGCTGTAGGCAGTTGGAAAGGTGTCATTAACATTGGAAAAGGGTGTGCAATCAAGTCATCTCATCCACATCACCTCCCCTCCCTCCAGCTCTCTGTGGGGTTTGCTCCCTGAGCCACTGAAGGTGGGCATGAGGGGGCTCAGCAGGGCTCTCACTTCACAGATCCTCTGCTCACAGACATTTCACACGGAAAATAAAGGCAAACCTGCTCCAACCACACGGCTTCACTGCCCTCTGAGTGCTCCAGGCTAGTCTGGGGCAAGCAGCCACCTAAAGGGAGCCAGGCTGTGCCTATGGAAGGGAACTGCCTATGGAAGGGGCAGTTCTAACAACACAAGCCTGATTTCAGTTGGAAGGGCATTTCTTTCACTAAACTGTGCTTCTTATCGAGAAAACAAGCTCCAGGAGGTGGTATTCGTCTTCAGCATTTATTTATCATTGGAAAAAGAACCCTTTGAGCAAGCAAAGATCACAAGCACGTCACAATCAATTGGCTATACATTAATTTTTGTGTGTGTGTGTGTGTGTGTGTGTGTGTGTCACTCTCATCAGAACAGCAACAAGGAGAAAGCACCACGAGGAGGTGTGCTCAACATGTTTACAAGAGACAATCCGTGATATGCAACCAAACCCAGGCCACAAAATATTAATTAGACACTTCCTATCTGCCTCCAAGAGGCGAGAGTTTGTGGAATTCGTGGGTGCCAGGTCTGCACACCCAGCAGATGGAGAAGCAGGTGATTGGTGTGCGAAGCGTCAGAGAAACAGGAGCTCAGTCAGCAAATTAGCACCATTTTGCAGAAAGGAGTAACAGTACAATACAGTGAAAATGCAAAAGCAAGCAACAGACAGCACAGGAACTCTCACACAGGGTAAAAAGCAAAACAATTTTTTTTTTCTTTCTTTTTTACAAGGAAAGCAGAACATAATTACAGATCAGCATCGTGGGAGCTGCAAACACAGAACAGCAGAGCAGTTTCCCAGCGGGATCGACAAGCTCAGAGCCCAAAGTGAACTTGGAACGGCAGAGATTTGGTCTCCTTTCTGATAAACCTGAGTGGGTTGGATGGGCACAGAGCCTGGGGAGGGCAGAGTGGGCAGGGTTTCCCCCTTGAGGCTCGACTCTGCTGCATTTCCTGGCGTTCAGTGCAGTGCTAACTGTGTGCTGAGGGGGGTTGGATGCATGCTGAGACCTGCTGCACATGGAGCACAGCCCAAGGATGTCTATCCCAGTTCTGTTGCTGTTGAGAGGGGGGTCTCCAGGCCCTACCAGTCTCCCAGAAAAAAAACCCTCCAAGGACCATTCATCCCACCCTCAGAGAGGTGGCCAAAATAGGCGGCTCAATGGCCCTTGGGAAGTTCCTTCCTAGGGGGGAGATTTGGACCCCTGGCTAACACTTCACACCTGGTTTTGTACTGAGCTCATGGAATGGTTTGGGTTGGAAGGGCCTTAAAGACCACCAGGATCCAAGCCCCCGCCACCAAAAAACTTCATGTGCTAAGGAACACAAAGCCATGCTGTGACCACTCACTGTGCACGTTCCACTCAGACACTGGGATGGATGCTCTCCATTGAGAAGGAGCAATCCCGGAGCTCATGGATGTTCAGCAGTTGATCCAGAGTCATGGAGATGCTTTGATTAGGTGGTCTGAGCACCTGAATCATGTTCCTTGGGCAAAATTTAGTTAACCTTGAAGTCAAGGGCTAAATTCCCCCTGAACTCAAGGCGAGACGGTGGCAAAGTGTGAACGTGTCCCTTTCAATGTGACACTCGGGGCCAAAAAACAACGGGGACAATTGTTTGGTGTGGTCTGTCCTTCTGTCAGATTGGTGTGTTGGGCTGTTGGGAACTGTCTAGTGCCTTCCTGACGTGTCTTGCCTGCTGTGACACATCATCTTCAGGGCTGGTGCCACATCCTGCGACAGCAGAGGACGCTACTGAGGAGTGGGAAGATGCATGAAGCACCTCAAAAGCCAAGGAATCACACCAAGCCTTGGGAGCTCATCTTCTCTGGCCAGTTGTCCCTTGTGGGTGGGAAGAGCTGTGAGCACACCCGTCTCCCCCAGCTCAGTGCTGGAGACAGAGCTGAGCTGCTGCAGGGGCTTCTGAGCACTCAGGAAAGCAATGGTCATTATGCACAGGTCAGCATCTCCATGAGGGCATGCACATCAAAATTTAAAAAAAAAAAAAAAAAAAGCACTACATTCACAAAGATTTCCACAGTTTTACTTCCTGGAGGATTTTCCCTGGTTTCCTCCCAAACAGCGGAGGTTTAAATATATATATATATTTCTATATATGAATATATATTTTCCACAGACACAACCTGACTAGCTCATAGCACACAGTTCTAACACAGCTAAGCTTTGGAAACACACCACTGGGTTCAGAACACTACACTCACTGCTACTCGAAGGGTTAGGCTGTCAGCAAGGCAAACAGGACACGTCACACGACACACTGAACGTGGCACTTACTCAGCACTAAGGCCAGCAAACCTCACTACCTGTACAGCACAGAGCTTCCCTCCCCTTGGGAAACTCCCTCTCAGCCTTGCAGCCCACCACTCATTTATGTTTCCAAAAAAAACCCCAATCCTAACGGGGTGAGACCCCAAAAGTGGGACTCCTCATCCTCCCAACACATCCCTTTCTCTGTTATGTTTCACATCCCTAAAACACCCTGGGCAGTGAGACTTTCCTCATCCCAGTGCCTCCCTACCCTACCTCCCACCTCTCTCTCCCTCCTTCCCAATTGTCCTCCAGGAGTTTCATGGTGGACTTCACGTTAGGAGAGAAATTTTGGGGCTGCCAAAATAAAAAATGAGAACCCTGCACCTTGACTTGAGGCCTCTCTGCTATGGGAGAGTTTAACAGCTCAGTTTGGTGGGATCAAGGTAAGTCCTCATGTATTTAGGACCCAATCCAGGAGTTAGGCACAATAAATTCGGATTGGGACCACAGCTCTCCCAGGTCCCACTGCTGCAGTGACCCAGGTTCTGGGGGATGCAGGGCCAGCCCGTTGGGCCAGGTCACACTGCTGACAAATGGTCCTGCCGTGTTCAGAGCTTCCAAACTGGGCTGTGGGGATTTCCTGCAGTAAGGGCACAGTAAATAGGATTGGAACCCTGAGATCTTGTCTGGAGGGACTCTAGGGATCCCAACATCTTTTTTTGGGGCCCTCTTGGGATGCTTATGAGCCCACATGAACCCCAGCAGCCGGAAGGATCAGCACAGCAGGGGCCGACAGCTCCAGCCGACCTCGGTGACACGGTTCTTTCTACCTCTTGGAAGGGCACCCCTGCAAACCAAACCTCCTTCTGAAACCTAACTCTGCCTGCTGGCACCCCAGGAGTGAAAAAAGCAGACCAAGATTCCAACCAAACTGGGAATAATTAAAAAGGCCCATAACCTGGGGGAAACAATAGGGAAGAACAACCTGCTGATAACCCCGTCTAACCTGCCACAGGCTTGGAAAGTCTTCACTGCTCTCTATGCCTTCCCTCACTCAGTTTTTTATTTAAAATCAAGGACTTCAAGTGGTTTTGAGGGTGAAGGTGCCTTGATGCAGCTGGACCTGCCCCCAGCTACCCTGGGGGAGGATTTGGCCCTTAATTTCCACGGGACCTCCTTTCCCATTGCTTCTTGGAGCAGAAATCCCACCAGTGCAACCAGGGGGAATCACTCTTGGCCACACCACTGGTTCTGGTGGATTCCCAGCAGATCCACACCACTGGTTCTGGTGGATTCCCAGCAGATCCACAGCACCATGAATGAACCTGATCCTCTCTGCCTCCAAAACCCTTCACCCACCAGCACCAGTGGGAGACAACCCAACAAGGGCCAACCCAAAAGGGCCTCCTGGGATGAGAGCAGAGCCCTTCCGTGGCTCCACGGGCACTTCCACGCTGGCAAAGCCCTGAAGGACCAGCCCAAGGAAAGGGCCAGGCTGTTGGATGCAACCATGATCCATCACCTCCATCTCCTACGCCCTGCTCATGCATTCCCACGTCCCTCACTCTGTGCAGAGCCGTGTTGTGCAGGCAAAGCAGAACAACCTGACCTCAGAAACAAGGATTCCCTAATCCTCCTTGGAAATAAAACAGAAAAGCTTCTAATACAATCAGAACAAAAAGCAGATTAGAAGCCTCTAATTAATTTTGTGGCCTTTATTTAATCAAATGGGTGGGAGGGGGGAAAAAAAGAAGGAAAAAAGAAATAAAAGGGGAAAAAAAACGAGTAAGAAAGGAAAGTGCAGTGACATTTACTCTTTTGCCTCAGCCAGTTTATTGTTCATCTCTTTACTTTTCTCCTTGTCCTCTGGCTTTGCTGTGTTGGAGGTCTCGGCGCTCTTTTTCTTGGCAGCCCGGCCAGATGCAATCTGCTTGTCTTTGGCCTTTTTCAGGGGTTTATGGCTTGTTGTGGTCTTTTTTGGTTTGGAAGGCTTTATGCTAGGTTTTTCCACCTGCATGGAGGACAGGCAAAACGACAACAGACAAGGAGAGAGAGAGAGAGACAGAGACAGAGACAGAGAGACACAAGGACAGGTGGAAAACAGGATTTAGATCAGAAACAGCACAAATGTTCCTCGTCCGCTCACCTCTGCCCTGCCACGAAGGAGGGGAGCAGCTGGGCTCATGCTGGGTTGCAAATGGCCAGCTCCTTTGCTGATGCCCTGAAGTCACAGAGCCCCTGGAGCCAGCAGAGCCCGTTGCATCCAGATCAGGACACAGCAGGATGAACAGGAGAGGGAATATTATCAGGCATTTTAGCAATTCCCCCATCTCTCTCTGACTTCAGGAAGGGCTTTGCAAGCCCACAGGGGAATTGTCTCTCTCTGGATTGGAAGCAGAGAAATGATGCTCAGGACAAAGAGGCTGCTACAAATCCCCGCCCTTCCTGCAGGACAGGACTCCTCTATCTGTTCTTAACAGATTCCCACAGCACAGGAAAATTCCTTGGGGATACCTGGGGCACAGGACAATGACTGGCACCTGGAGAAAAGTGCACAACAGCGTCTTGTTTCTACAGCCCCCAAAATAGGAAGAACAGCTACAAAATTAAGGAGGAACAGAAGCCTTTAGCTCCTCCGTGCCTGCCTTGCCACCCCTCACAGATCCAACACTCCTGAACTCTGGGAAGGACTAATAGTCCTGGGTTTAAAACTGCACAAACTCCTTTCAAATGCAGATCCACCACTGCTCCTGGAAAACAAGGCTGGAAGACATTTCAGCTCAGGTCCTTCTCCACACATGTCCTGGATCTGATCAAAGCCAGGAGTGGGTACTGTCACTCTCTGGGCTCTGAATTAACTGCAGATGAGGATCTGGCTCTCACCATGTTGTTCCTGGGAAAAAGAGCAATGTGGAGTTCCTATAGTTTTAGAGGGAGAAACAGAAAGCTGCCTAGATAATCATGTGGGAAATGACAACACAAAACCCTCTTCATCTGGGCCCTGCCCTCACTCCTCAGTTTGACACAGGGCACTATTCTCTCCAAAGTGCACCGAGCTGTTCTAGAGCCCGTAGGATTATAGGATGGTTTGGGTTGGAAGAGTCCTTAAAAACCATCTATTTGCAACCCCCTACCACAGGCAGGGACACCTTCCACTAGCCCAGGCTGCTCCAAGCCCTGTCCAACCTGGCCTTGGACACTTCCAGGGATCCAGGGGCAGCCACAGCTTCTCTGGGCAACCTGGGCCAGGGCCTCCCACCCTCACAGCCAACAATTCCTTCCCAATATCCCATCTAACCCTGCCCTCTGGCACTGGGAAGCCATTCCCTGTGTCCTGTCCCTCCATCCCTTGTCCCCAGTCCCTCTCCAGCTCTCCTGGAGCCCCTTTAGGCCCTGCAAGGGGCTCTCAGCTCTCCCTGGAGCCTTCCCTTCTCCAGCTGAACCCCCCCAGCTCCCCCAGCCTGGCTCCAGAGCAGAGGGGCTCCAGCCCTGGCAGCATCTCCAGGGCCTCCTCTGGACTCTCTCCAGCAGCTCCACGTCCCTGTGCTGTTGTTCCCCAGGGCTGGAGGCAGCTCTGCCCCCACCCGAGGGGGCAGAGGGGCAGAATCCCCCCCTCCCCTGCTGCCCACGCTCCCTGTGGGACCAGCCCAGGGCACGGGAGGTTTCTGGGCTGCCAGAGCACGTGGCCGGGGCACGTTTAGTTCTCCCTCCACCACCACGTGCAAGGTGGATCCCCAGCTGGCCAGAAGGAAGATGCCCCAGGAGGGGACTGAAGGCAGCGTGTCCAGCCCTGCCCTGTGGGTTGGACGTGTCCCCCCGGGTCCCTCACCTTGGGAGGTTCTTTGTAGGGCTCGCTGTAGAGGGTGCGTATCCTCCTGCGCTCCAGGTATTTGTTGTCAGCTGGAGAAGGCTTACTGGTTTCCCCCTTGAACTGGGCGCTGTAACTGGTCTCGTGGATCATCTTCTCCTCCGGGGGTTTGTACTGGGGCTTGGCCCGGATCGCTTTCACTGGCTTGACGTCGATCCAGGGCCGGAACTCGTTCCTGAGGGGTCAAAGGGAAACAGGTTCAGGGATCCAGCAATGGGTGGAATCCCGCGTTGCTCAACGACATAGAAACAGGCTCGTGTTTTACCTCGCCCAAAACCCACCAACAAATTACGAGGAATTGAAAAGAAACATAGTCTATTAACATCAGCCAGCCCTGGGCACCCTCGGCCATGCCTGTGAGGACAGAATTGTGTGATTCCACCTGTACTGCACCAAACTGTGCTCAGCAGTTCAGTTAATCCCACACTAACAGATAAATAATTGGGATAAACAGGTAAATAATCAAGAGAAAGCTGTCTTAGATGCACAGTCTGTCAGGTGGAGCTATGGCTTCTCTTTATTAGCTCACAGTGAATTCCTGAGTTACAGGAAAAAAATAACCCCATCTTTCATTTCTTTTGGACAGAGTTGCAACCTTTTAGAGGAAGAAAACCCAAACACGCTTGAAAGACTTTTAACATCTGCTGGACACGTTCCACAACCTCATTCTCTTGTTTTTTCCTGTTCTTCCCAGCACAGCACCAACATCTGCTCAGTTTTGAAGTAAACTCTTTTCATTTTTCTCTCTAAAAATCGATATTTGTCTGAGAATGAGACCCAAATGTGTTGGTACCCTACAGGGGTTGTGCTCAGACACAGCCCAAGGCAGTGTTTAGGTCCTTAAAACTCCAGTGCAAGCCAGGAGTTATCCCAACAGTGGTGACACAAGCCCTCTGCAGAGGGGTGAGTTTTCCTTGGAAATCCCAGAGTTTGGTTTGGGTTGAGAGGGACCTTAAAGCTCATTTCATTCCAACCCCTTTTCATTTTCTTGCCTTAATTTCAGGGCTTCTGAGGCAATGGGATCTCTGAGCTGCAGACCCTGCCCCTCCTGCCCCGTTCCACGTTTTTGGGCTGTGTTACTCATTTTCAGCCCGGATTATGAGGGAAATGAACTCTGTGTGAGGGTACTGCCAGTCAATCCCTTCCCATAATAGCTCTGAACATCTTAATCAGCTTCAACCAAATTTGACAAATGGGCATGGGGTTATTCAGCTTTCCCTTTTACGAGGATAAGCAGCTGGAGCGAGTCCAGGGGCTCAGGAAAGCTTCACTTTGGACATGCACACATCACCAGAGGATGCTCAGACAGGGCTGCAGAAGGTCATCCAGTGCCCTCAGGGACTTGGGAATCCAGGATCCTTTCCATGTGCAGGATCAGGGCAGCTCCCTGCCTGCTCACTGCTACACTTCTCATTCCCACAATCTCTCTGGAAAATGGGAAACCCCATTTCTCTTCCAAGGGAACTGCTGCCTGCAGGATGAGCTCAGTGCCTCTCTGGGCTCTGTTCATGGATGGGAATGCAAACATGGAGCATGTGTGAGATACTCACAAATACACCCCTCAAAGTAGGTATTGTTGTCTCTGAGCCACATCCCAGCTCCTACTCTCCATCCTTAGTGTTGCTTCTACCTACATCGACTTTTTATTTTACCTGTATTTCCTAATTTCCCTCCCTCTTTCCTCTTCAGCCCTTCCTGGGCTTGGACAATGCTGCCAAAGGCAGGGATACTCCCTCTTTGAGGGATGCTGTTCCTCAGGAAACCACTGCACTGAATGAGCAACACGTGAATTGAAGGTTTTTCCACTTGAAAAAAACATTCCATTCCCATTTGAAGACATTCCCAATTGAAGACTTTCCCATCCAGTGAATATCATCCATTTGTCCACAGGTATTTCTCTGCAGCCCATTGTTAAAATATCCCTCCTGCATGACAGGTTTTGAGAGAAAGGAGGAAGAAACACGTTTGAAGAACTGGATTAAAGACATGAATATATGACTGACAAACTGCTCTCCAGGGCTTGCAGAGGAGCAGAAGGAGGACACAATCTCAAACCATTTACTACAGCTACATCTGATGCTCCAGGATATTTATGTCACTCAGAGATGTTGTATCATAAATTTAAATACTCCTTATATGCAGCAAAGAAGTGAGGGGAAAATCAGCAGCTTAAAAAGTTAATTATTTTATTTTTTTTCTGTATTCTGAGAATAGTAAAATAGTAAAATAGTAAAAATATCTGTTCTCTAAGGTACAGTTGCTCCTGTAACACTAAAACTAACTCTGGTTTGGAGAGAGATCCTGCAGTTGAGAGAATTCCCTCATCACTGCTTAACATCCTGAGGCCAACTGGTGGGGAAGGTGCCCAGAAGTTACAAATTCCTTTTTCAACCTGAAACAAGCCCTGAAAACATTATTTTCCCCCCTGTTTTCAGAACAACAGGTCATGGTGGTGTCTGGACCACTGGAGAATCCTGCACACCAAATCAGCTCTCAGAGTGTGCCAGACCCCATCCTAACAGAGCTCAGCTCCCAGCTCACCTAATCCTGAGCAAAAGCCTCTGTGAGGCAGCAGGGATGAGCCATGGACCAGCTCCAGGCTGGATGTGTCCAACAGGCACAGCTCAGCCCAGCTCTGGAATTCTTTATCTCCGGGATTGTCACTGCTCTTCGTTTTGCTGAGGAAGATTTGAAGAGCTGCTGCTGGTCTTGGCAGGAAACAAAGGGCTTGGACTGAAATAGCAGCAAATTACAGCTCTCCTAATTCTGTGCCTGGCTCTGGCCCCAGCCTTACAAAGAATAATTAGAATTAGTGGGGAACCCAGCGCCGACCTGAAATGGAATTGGAAATGAAACTCAGCAAAAAGGAGAATATGAGGCACCAGATGACCAAGTTCGATGGGAAAAATCCCCAGGGCAGCTAAAGAGAGTATATCCAGGAGAACTTTGGGCTGGGCAGGATGGGGCAGGTGCCTTGCAGATCCTCCAGGACCACAGCAGCCTGGGGAGGTGGGGCCTGATCCACGTCCATGAAAGCCAGGACTGATGTCCACATCCACCAGTGGACACCACACTGCTCCACCCACCCCTCAGTTCATTTGAACTGCATTTCCCCCTGGTTGGGCATGGCTGCAGGCAGGGGAAGGTGACCTGAATGCCCTCCACGGGACACTGGGGCTGAGCTGAGCTCCAGGCTGCCTCTGGAGATGCTCATCCAGACCCGTGTGGGCACGGATTGCCTTCATCTGCTGAGCCAGAGCAAAGCCAACGGGGGGAAGGAAGGGGAGGACAGGGCCAGGCTTAACCACTTCAAGGCTTCCACCTCCTTTGAAGGGCTTTGAAGAGAGGCTGTGTTTGTTCAGCATCAGCACGGGGTGTTCAGGGGTTCTGCTGACAGCAGCTCCACCGGCACTGGGCCAGCCCAGTTCCCTTGTCCCAGTGTACAAAATAATGAATGGTGCAGAACTTCATGCTGGAGTCCCTGCACAGAGGGGCATTTCCAGCTTAACCTGGAAAAATCACAGCTCAGAGAAAAAAAGAAAAACATTCAGGTTTTTCACCAGGAAAAAAAAAAATATGCTTTACAAAGTGTTAGGCCTGAAATGTTTAATTAATTCTAAAGGGAAAAGTTGGGGGTTTTTCGGTTTCTTTAGTTCTTTGCCATCCCATTTTTTCCCCCTTATTCTACTCAGGACAACTCAAAGGGACTATGAACCTTCTTTTGAAGCAAAACACCAAAATGCTTCACAGATTGTATTTTAGAACATCACAGTTCTCTTTAATGTTCCTCTACCAAAACAGCAATGAAAAAACTAAGTAAAAAGTTTTTCTGGGATTTTCAAATTATTTTGCCTTTCTGGAATACAGTATCATTTGCTCCTAAATATCCTCCAGGTCCCTTATACCTCTTAATGCAGGAAAAGAGATGTTCAGTGACATGAAGTAGTGGGAAACCTAAAATCAATGATAATGGTTGGTTGAACTCTGGAACTCAGTGCCAAAGGAGGACACCAACCTCCAGTAAATAATGAAGTTTAATTAAGTCATGGCTGTTTAGCTGGATATTGAGAGCATTCAGAGTTATCTTCAGCATTTAACTGTTCTCTAAAAACCATGGGCCAAAGCAGCAGTTATTCCAGGGTGAAGGAATCTCCTCCAACCTCCCTCTGGTTGTGATCAGCCAAAGACACTGGACTGCCAGCAAATCCTGCTCTGAAAGGACTGCCCGTGTTTTGACCCTAAACTGTTCTCTTTCTAGTGTGAACAGAAAACATCCCATTGGGACTCCATATAAACAGGCTGTGCATCCTCCTGCAAACACCAGTGATATTAAGGACCGGCCTGAGCAGCGGCCACCGCTCAGCAAGAGCCAAACTCTGACTCCCAACCCACTTTCAGCAGGAAAGGAACTGAGGCCCCTCATCCCAATTCCCATCCCAGCCTCCTTTAGTTAGAAAATCCAATTCCAACCCTCTCCTGCTGTCACTGGCCTGGCCAACACACCAGATCTGCCCCTGCCAGTGTCAGCACTGCCCTGTCCCTGCCTGTGCACCCAGTGCCCTGTCCCCAGCTCCTACATGGATGTTTAATGGCAGCTTTATCCTCTGCTGCCTGGGCTATTCTCTTGTGCACAATAATTTACTGTAAACTGGCACTGTCAATGGTATAAAGAAGCTCCTGGTGCCCAAGATAATTTTTTTCCCAAACATTAACAATCAACCTCTAAGACACACCCACCCACACAAATAAACATATATATATATATTTACACACGTGTACACAGAGCAAGTCAGTTTGGATGGGCCCATATCTAATTGTGTACTAAAACAAAGTGATATATATTAATGCAGGAATTGGAAACTTGGACAGTGGACAATGGAGTGAGTGTGAGCAGGATGGGGAGGGATCAGCATGTGGGAACATCCCCAAGCACAGAACTGGCACAGAAGAGGAGCAAAGTGCTGAGCCTTCAAGAAGGTGACTTTGGCACTGGCTGAAGGAGGTTATGAGCAAGATACCAAGATTAATGTCCTGGAAAGGATGAAGTCAAGTCATTTGGCAGAGCAGAACCATGCTGTGATCCATTTATAAAAACAGCTTCAGTCAGCAGCCCACAAATCATGGATATTGCCTTGCCTGAGGGCCATGGAGCATGGACTTCCAGGAAGGAAGAATTGATAATTCTTCAGCCCAGGCTGTCGTGTTTGAAACGTCACAGACACGGGAGTGAACACTGAGAGGGCCAAGGAGTGAGGGAGAAAAGGAGCTGTGGGCGAGTAACCCCAAGAGTAACAGCCCTGCCACTGCTCATGTCTCAGTGTGGAGAAACAGGAGAGTTCAGGAGCATCCACG